TTTTCATTTTAATTTCATGTCTCTGCTTCTCACACACAGGCCAGCTTGATAAAATGCATTTACATTTAACCTCCAGGAAAGATTTTTACATCAGAAATAAAGCACCAGGATGAGGATGCACCGTATGTGTAAATGCTTTAGAGCAGCGCCATGCACAGTAACGAAGGAGCGCACAGAGAAATGTTGTTTTTTTTAAACTAGGTGAGCGGGAGAAAAAGAGATCAGAGATATACAGACGTAGAGACTGGCGGCCTTGTGTGGGCGGTCGGAGAACTCGAAGGTTTGTCTTGATGCTTTTGTTTAAGGGCACTTTCATGATCTCTGGGTCTCGGAGGAGTTTCTCACTACAGGCCCCTTTTGCACTGAAACCACTCAAGCACTAGATCATCGTTGGTGATGAAACATAAAACATGGCTTCCGGGCTGAAGCGCCATTGTTGCCATAGCGAGAGACCCGGAGCGACTAAGAAATCCCCTGGAAGTAGAGAGAGTAAATAATATCTCATCTCACACACACACACACACACACACACACACACACGTCTCTGCTGCTGCTGCTCTCTGCACATGCTCTGACAGGATGGCTGAGGTGTGTAGGTTGGTGCATGTGGAAAAATAGTATTGTTGTTTCAGGTCAAATAGAAATGCTCACAGCATTAAGGAGTGAGCACTTATTGAAAAGTGTTTTGTCACTTTAGACAGATTAAACTTTATACCAAATGATGGAGCTCGATGGAAAGTGAGGCGATATTCAACGGCATTAGGCTTCATCCTCTAGGTACCATGAATGTCTTCATCAAATGTATATGTCAATCTCTCAAACCGTTGTTGAGAGATTACAGTCTGGACCAAAGTTGGTGTACGGACTGACCGGCCAATATTGACGTACTGCGACATGTGGCAGAGTCGTCCTTCAATCAGAGGATCGGCGGTTCGATCCCCGGCTCCGCTAGTCCATGTCGATGTGTCCTTGGGCAAGACACTTAACCCCAAATTGCTCCTGTAAGCTGTGCCTGCTGTGTGTGAATGTTGCATGTCCTGATGGGCAGATGGCACCTTGCATGGTAGCCCCTGCCATCAGTGTATGAATGGGTGTGAATGATGACATGAAGTGTTAAAGCGCTTTGAGTGGTCAGAAGACTAGAAAAGCATTCTACAAATACAGTCCGTTTACAGTCCATTATTTACAGCAATGCCGCTAGGATAGCTAGAAATAACAAGTGCCACTCTAATTTATTGAAAATGTAGCAAAACAATAAACAAACTTTGGCCACTTTGGGACTCCTATGAATCAAGAAACTGAAAGGAGGAGGAGGAGGAGGAGATTGTGAAGCTGTTTGCTGACGGGGAAAAGAAGGAAACATGAAATGTTGATTTTACAACGTGGGTCCAAGTTATTTGTGTGTTTCAGCTTGACAGTTTATTTTTGCATCATTTCATGTCATTTTACAATCGGTTGGGTTGTAGCAGCGGTCTCAAGATTTTGGGCTTGAAAACTGTCCGAAATTTGACGCAGCCCCGTCCTTGGTTGACCAAAGATCCCCCAAATCACACAGTATGAAGTTTCCTCGGGAAAGTGACATTTTCTATTTGTGAGAAAATGAGAGCCAAGCCTAAAATGTCTCAGAGCTGTTGGATTCAACTGAGACTACTGTGCATGAAGAAATGCATTTCTTTGTCTTCTATTCTGTACTTTGGTCGTCTGATCTGACAATGTGATAGCTGGCTGTTCTTCGTTTCCCTCTTTGATTCTGATGGACTTCGGACTAAAAGTTTTCTTGATGGTTCACATTGCTGGTTCTTTTTTTCTTTCTGCTGAACTCCACAGCTGCTCTGCTCAACATGTGTGTGAGATGTGCAACAAGAAGTTACAAAAAACAACACCAACCACCGAAATATGCCCAGAAATCCAATCGGCTTCACCACCGCACTAAATTTAACTGATTTTACTGATAACATTTGTACCGCGTCTTATATTAGCCTTGTTTATAATTATAATATTGACACTTCAGTGAACTTTTGTATTTATTTCACTGGATTAAGGGGTTAAAAAATAAGAAAGTGTTATTTTTTAGGAGATGTGCCAGAAGAAATATTGAACACAATCACACAAGGGCTTAATTTGAGGTGAGTCGGCCATGCTCCTAATCAGATTAGTTCTTACTCGTGATTTGCCCTCAATTAACATTTAAATTGTGAATACAACAGAACAAATAAACCGCATTTTCTGCACATTTTTTTTTTGCTCGTGTAAAGGAATATCAGATCAGAGTCTGATCGGATTATCACGGCCAAGCAATTGGAGCAAAACAGATAAACAAAGTAACAAAAAATAAATGTGCAGGCGGAGAAGGAAGCACACAAACACACAGTTACTCAGCCCTGGAGCAGTCAGATCATGTCTGTTGAAAGTACTGACCTGAGTTCAGATCGAAGTTGAAGCCGGCATGTAACCCTGGAGAAGACTTTATGTCTGATCTCGATGTTTTGCTGGGTCACAAAGAGCCTTATTTAATCCTTTGTGCAGAAAGTACGAAAAGTAAGAAAAATCCAGGCACACACAAGACCACAGTTTGACAGAAAAATGAGTGAAATACATACATAGACACGGCACACGGGTCAACAGGTCTTCATGCTCGGTTTATAAATGCTCACGTTTTCAGACGACTGGTCATATCCATTCAGGATGTAACACGTGTCCCCCACCAGTGTGAACTGTCGGTGGCGGTGAAAAGTCATGCGTGTACAGAGTAACAACAATGTCCACGTCCATTTCCTTACCCACTGTTCTCCCACATGGTTTCAACACATATCTGAGAAGGAAGGTGCCTTTGAGTTTTGACTGAATTGAGGCTTTTCTTTAACTGTTTTTTTCTATTGTTGTCGGGTGTTGTGTCTTCAGTGCTAACACCCGGCCCTGCCAAGCTGCAACAGCCAACAATTAGTCATTTGTAAGTATTAAGTCAGATCTAAGTGTGCAGTAGTACTTTAATAAGAAAGCAACACAATAGAAATTGATTTGCCTTTTTGTTTTACTGATTAGAAAACATTAATAACTCATACTGAGAGGAAAGAAATATTAGTTTTGCAACAATTTCAACTGCAGTGTGACCGTAGCCCGAGATACAAATCTAGACAATCAGGATACTTCTGAATTAAAATATGTTGTTCATTGTACAGTATTCGTTAGGGTTGCCTTGCAAGTCAATCGTAAAAATTGTCAACCACATAATGCTCTAAACTTTTAGAATCCCACACATTTATGAAAAAAACGGATTCGGCCAAAACTGGCGACTCACAGGGCGTCACGTAGACGTAAACCTCAACAGGTGACTGAGAAGAGTTTGATTGGCTTACAGCCTTAATATTGTTATTCATCACTGCTGAACATTTTCCAACCCTGCAGAGTTTAGTTTCTTTTCTTTTCAACATGATTGATCTATTAGAGTAGAGTGAAGTGCAGTGAATATATCACGTCTTCTTTCTTCCTGAGTTACCTCACTGTTGCGGCGGAATGCCATTGAAAGCGCAGCCTCTTGAAAAGTCTTATTTATGGTGAGTCCTTGTGCTGATTAGACACTCTGATACTCAAGTATGAGAGGCGGCTGCCAAACTAAATCAAACCCACAAGACAAAACATGGATGTTGTGAAAAGGATAGATTACGTAACAGGGTTGCTATACAGCAGCCAGCTATTGTTTTTCCACAACAAATACCGTTATGATCACGATTAGCGACGTCTGCGAACCACCCCAGACAGATACAGGGTAGAGATACAGTTTAAATGGAAAACATCCCGGCGTGCCGTGGTAAGAATTGGATCAGATTTTATTGCTCTGTTTCTCTTTTACTGCTTCACTTATCTCTCTCCCTCCGTGTTATCCATCTTCCTCTCCTCCACCTCACCAGAAGAAGTCATTCATCGCTCTGCCATCCGAGCAGTGTTTTCATTATCACCTGCCTCCTCTCCGTCTGTCACCCGGCTAAAGACGGATGCCGGGGTCATCGGCAGGAGACAGACACAGCCAGAAGAACCAGCGCAGTATCGCAGCTCTTCATCTTCATGGTGTTTAGTTCCGCAGCATTGTGTCACTGATAACTTTCTTTTTTCATCTCTTCACTCTACTCCACTGCATAATCAAACTAGATTCCTCCAGAAAAAGAAAACCTCCGAGCGAACATTGCCTCAGTGTTTTGTTGTGCTTTCATTTCAGTTTTGTGTCTTGTCAGGTTTTTGTCACTCATGGGAATAGAGACTTGGCTTGCAAGGCATTACATGTACACACACATGCACACAATGACATCCTTTTTCCTCCCCATTTGCTGCATGTGCAGTGGGGACTCATGGGAGAGGGCAATGTATTTCCACATCAGAAAAGGCAGGGAATGTGTGCGAGAGTGTACGGATGTGCGTTTGTGTGCCCAGGTGCACTCTAAATCAGTATCTGTGAATATGGTGTCTGTTTTCTTTCTGAAGGTTCTTTGTGATGTTACAGGTCATCATTCAAAGACTAAAGAGGGGGAGATATAGGGCAAGTGAGAGAGTGTCTAATAGAGTAGTTTACAAGTGAGAGAAAGAGATTTCAAGATAGGAAGACAGACACCAGAAGAGAGAGAGAGAGAGAGAGAGAGAGAGAGATGGGAAGAACGGGAAATAGACAAGACAATAAGTAAAAATTGTTTAAATATTCATGTTTTTCGTCAGATGATTTATTCATGAGTGGCTGATATATTCAGTTATTTATAAAGTTCTTGTGTGTCACCGCTGTTGACAGAAGTGTTGCTCCCGCGCTCACGGAGGAAGTACACAATGTAAAATGCAACATGAAGCAGCCAACGTGTGCTCTAATGATTTCACAGTAAAGGTTAGCTGTGACTGAATAGCAGTTAGGAGACAAAAGCTTATTTCTTAAAGTGTGTGCACTGAGTGCCGCTGCTTCCCCTGCAGCTCGCTGCGTCACTTGCTCTGTATTCTCATCCATGTTTCTCTCCCGACTCCAGATTTTGACCCCAGTCTTGGGCTGATGACTGGCATTACCCCCATAAATCCCATGATGCCCGGCCTGAGCCTGGCGTCCCCGCCCCTCCCCCGGGAGGCGCCCGTTGTCAAGGAGATCATCCACTGCAAGAGCTGCACGCTGTTTCCTCCCAACCCCAGTAAGTCTCCACTGCCGCTGTAAGAGATATGAGCAGCGCAGAAACGCTGCAAGCTGACCCGTTCTCAGCGAGCCTGGTGCATGTTTTATTTACTGCTGCAGTATTGTGCATTATCTATGACTCATCTCTGTCCTCACTACGGATAGACACCTATGCACCACTCAGCCAGACATTGTGTGACAGTGAAGAAGAAGAAGAAGAAGGGAGTATTCTTCCTTAATTTCACCTTTAGTAATTCTTAGCCAGCAGAGCGTAGCTGATTTGCATGCACGTTTCATCAAGAAAGGAGAGGAGGAGAGGGATTAAAGTAGGTGTTACGGTGTGTGTATGCATGCCAGCGTGCACTTGTGCGATGCCTGTGAATGTATAATTGGAGGAGTGACCTCTGTGAGCACAGATCACAGCGCTGCTGTCTCCAATATGCCAGGCCAAAGAGGTGATGGACTCTGTCCTCGTCTTAGCTCAACTCACCCTTATCTCTCTTCACCTGCTTGCTCTATCGTACCATATACACATATAGCTCTCTCCCCCTCTCTCCCTCTCTTATATACTGCATCTCTTCTCCTCCCACCTCGTGTTTAAGAGGTCAAATCCACTTAATTACCTGGTCACCTCTGAGTGTTCCAGGTCAAAAGGCCTCTGTCAGGCTCTGCCTGTTGCATATGTATACGTATATGGACAAACACTCCTCTCTTTTTGCACACACACAAACACACATATATGGACATTTGGCTGGTGGGAAACCATAACCTTGAACCGTCACAAAATAGGGTATGAAAATAAGGATGAATGGGCAAAAAGTCTGTGCTCTCATAACTGAATAGTTAAAATGTCATTATTATTTATAGCTACTGTACTGTCCCCTGTGGGCCATTGTAGGTGGTTCGTGGTAATTGGGTTAATCTTTCCACTGTGTTCTGTAGGAATAAAAGGAGAGTTTTTCTTATTATTGCAAAAAGTGAGGAAGCTCCCCGCCTGAACCAGTGGAAAAAGCTGCTGTTGAATGTTTCGAACGAACGAAATAGCAGGTCAACAAAAGTTAAACAGCCAATATCAAATAAAACTGAGCAACATAGGAGTGGAGTAGGGACTGAACACTATTCCTATACTCAGTGGTGGATTTGGGATCGCTCCCACGGGGGCCATTGCCCCTTATAGCCTTTCATAAAATTCCAATGCAATGTATGGCTAGATGCAGCGCAAATGTATTATTTCATATTTCAAAAGAGTTGCCAATGAAGCATCTAAATAGGATTAGGTGATATGACAATATATGCTGTGAGATGATTTCTCTATGCCATTTATACTGAGGTTAATTCGCCTTTTTATCTCTTTATGGGGCCATTGTGGGTAATGTTGCAAAGGCATTATAAGGACTGCTTGATAACAATATGGAGTTTATAGTCTTCTGCATCAATGCGATGGAGTCCCTTGAGTTGTCAGATATCTAATTTACATCCTCATCTGGTTATCGTCCCGATGGAAACTTAACATCTTACAATATTATATTAATGTTTCCCAAAAAAGTGCTTCTCAAACTGGGAAATCTTCCAAACATGGAGGCACAGATGAGACAAACAAACATAAACTTCCGAAGTCAACGTTGACTTATTTTGTCATGTTAGTCATTCATGTCTTTAGTCGCTCACTAGTCAGTCAGGTTAACCTTAACAACAATCTTTTCCTAAACCTAACTTCCTGTGAAGATGGTTTATTTTGAAAAGGCACTATGCGTGTATCAAGCATACATTGACCAGAACAGACTACTGAACATATTCTAAAAGGCCTTTAATGTTTTTTATTTCATGTTCATCATTTAGGTAATAAAGTCATTGTTTTTTGACATTTGTTTGATATTCATGTGCAAATAAACACAACAAATTGCCTTCACAAGGAAGTTTCAGTTGTTATATCAAGATATATTAATGTAGCAGAATTAACGGCAATAATAAACCCCTAAAACATTTCCTTCACACTTGCATTCTTTAAATAATTAACCGTGATCCTAGTGTTCCCTCCCTCTGGGAGGAAGTCTCCCTCTTCCGTTGTCTTTCTGGAGGCTGTTTCCAGGCAGCCTCACATGTCAGATGGAGAAGACATCAATTTTCCACCTTGACTCTTTGTGAGAGCTCCTCTCTACAACCAGCGAGGGAGTCTGCCTTTGATACCTTGGAAGTTTGAGTTCAGTTCACCCTTTGTATGAAGCCTCACTGTTACGGTTTAATGCAGACAGAAAGATTTATCACACACAATAAATTCATAAATTAATGAATATGTCCTCCACACCTTTAGGCCTTTACGCGCTAGAACAGAGACGAGCACATGGAAAACAGTGTATCTTATACGGAGTTCATTCTAATCCTGAGGCAGAATGAGGAGTCGACTGTTAAAGTAACAACCTGCCATAAGCGCTCATTGTATGACCTAGGGTTACTGTTCCCATTGAGAGAAATTTTCCATTTTTCCTTTTTGCCTTCGTGCAGGCACAAGAGCCCTGTTTTTCAATCCAAGCCTTGACTTCTTTCTTGTTTTTGTGTGTGTGTGTGTGTGTGTGTGTGTGTGTGTGTGACAAAAGATGTAAAATAAACAGCTAAGAAGCTGAAGAAGATTTTTTTTTAAAGAATCATAAACATGGGTTCATATTGTATGCAGCTAAGTTGGTACAGATGACACGGCATTAAGGTTAAGGACTACATCTCCTATGGGCCTCTCTCACATAAAATGTAAGCACTCATGCAACTTGTAAAGCACTTTGGATAAAAGCATTCACCCAGTGGTGTGTTAAGATGTAATGTGGGGTGCACATTAGGCTGCTTGAACAAAATCTCTCACTTTAAACCGTCCCTCCATCACAGCAGCATCTTCACACATCTTTCAGATATTTCCTGCAACACCTTCATTCTTGCTCACCTTTTCTCTCACATCATCTGTCTCCTATTCATTTTCTTCCCTTTATATTTTTATTCATTTGACAGCGTACGAATGGTATTTTTTTCTTTTTAAAGCCATATGTATACAAGCTGACTTTTACGTGACATGTTTATAAAGTTTTTTTTTAACTTTTTGTGTTTTTGTTAAGTCTGTTATTTGTGCATTCATGTGTGTAAAGTTTAAACTTTTGTTTTTATGTAGACATTGCTGCTTTTACATAACTTGCAACCCATGCAGTGTATATACGTAGTGGTAGCCAATTGGAAGACTTTGTTCCTTGTGATGCTTTAAGAAATATAATCATATATTACAACATCTAATACAAGCATAGAAACTAACAATAGAACAGACAAACTGCCTCAAACAACCAGTACAGACAGTAATAAAAACAACAGTGACTGAAACAACGATTAAAATGTCTAAATATGTACTGGATACACTATAAACCCATATATCTCAGTGTTCACATCTTTGCCTTTTTTAAGTCATTGGTTTTCCTTTGCACTAAAAGCTCTAAAATCTGTTCATGTTTTTATTTCTAATGGCAGTGTTATTCCAAATTTGTCAGCCTTTTAAGGGTTACTAAGGTATTATCAACCCTATTTTCCCATGTTTTTGTGTGTGACGAAGAGGGACAACAATTTTAGAAATTGGTCCATTATTAAAGAAGGACGCTTCAACCGCCGGCTGCTAAACGGGCTGCAATGTAATCATACCATCCATGTACATCCAATAAAAGTGCTTGTTTTTCCACTGATAGGTTCAGATTGTCATTCTAACTGTCTGACAACGTGGTGGAAAGGACCCTACTCCTCTTTTGTGTGAATCGGTTTGTTTGTTATTGTGTCATGTGACTTGTTGCTGGAAGAAAACGGTGGAAATGTGACCGAGGTTTAGATAGAGTATCAGAACACGTAGTTTAGTGTCATTAGGCTTCTGACAGCTCTATCTGTTTAAAGTTAGCTGCCAGTTCTTCCACTGATTGGACAAAATAGGCGTTAAGTGCATTTACAATTACCATGCTATCAGAACTGATCACTCCATTTACCTTCAATTGAGTTATTCATTTTCTCTGATTAGACTCATTTCGTGACTCTATTGATATGGCTGGAGATGAGCTATTTATCCCTGAGAGTTGTTTTTTTTGCTTTTCCCAAGTCCTTTTAAAATAAAATAGAAAGTATCTGTGTATAATTCTGTGGAAATTATTTGTTATTATACAAGATCCTTCTTTTTCATTAGTTGACCAAAGGAGAGATGGGTTGTTTTTCTTTCCCACATTTGAATGGTTTTATTCATTTTCTTAATTGCATTTATGAGTGAATCCATCAATAATGTTGCACCATTTATTTAAATAAATATGTTTGCAGAAATTAATCCCAATTTATATTTCTTTCTTCACACGCAAACTTAGGGATTTCCTTCTTTCTAGTCTTTGTCTGTTGATTGTTGCCATGTCACCTTTAAAGGCAAGAAGTGCGCCATAGACGAGAGTAAGTCGAAAGGTTAGTTTTCAGAGGAAGCCAATTTACTTCCAACATGAAAGAGAAACACTTTTTTCCCCTTTTGAAAGATGCCGCTGTCGCCTCCTACAATAGACCAAGAGGCTGTCAAAACAGTCCCTTGAAACCAATCTGAAGACATTCCTCAGTAGGAGGCATTTTTAGAGAGAAAAAGGGCAAATGCCATCTAAATTTAATGCTGCAATTTATTTGAACAGATGGAAAGACATTCACCCAGAACCGAGCAGAGCCATTGAGGAGATTTCTGGGCTCACTGGTAGGTTTCCGCTGTAATTGAAGCCTCTAGGGTTCTTCTAAGGGGGTCAAAGCGTGATAAAGCTCCACCACAGGGGACAACGCAGGGGGCCACAGTAGATAGCTGACGTGCATCTTTCTTTAAATGTATTCTTTAACTAGGAGCATCGTGAGTGTGTGTGTGTGTGTGTGTGTGTGGGGGGGGGGGGGGAACAAATACAAAAGGGAGAAAACAGAAAAAGTGAAGAAATGTTGCTTTGAACAGTGTGTCAAGTTAGAGGATGATTGTGATTTGTGTGTGTGTGTGTGTGT